ATTACCTCATTGACTGATTTGTTACAGGCTAATCACCAAGGGCAGATAGGCACATCAAAAACTACAGGCTCCCCTGTCCCCGCCCCGATCGCTTCGCTCTCCGAATTCTTCTGTTTCGCGGTTGCCGAAATTTTTTCCGTCCTCGCCGGGAGCCTGTTCGCAGGCTACAAATATTCTCGAGACAGACTGGATTAGGATTGCGTTACACTACGTGGAACGCAATGATAACTCAGACCGCATTTACACCTATGCCGGTAACACCCACAAGTGATCTGACAGCCCTTATCTAATTTTAACCAATAAGAAACTTTGATCTATCCTGCACAAACAGAAAAACAAACAGAAATTTACTTTAGATACGATATCAGACACAGTAAGTCACGTCACCGGACGCAACTTCAAGCGTCTTCTGAAGCTGAAAGCGGGAGATAACGAACATTTCGGGCTACAATAGATCTACAGATCACATACGTATAATGTTTAATCAAACGCCATCAGGACGGTCAATGCAAGCAAAGTCCTTTTACGAAAAGCTAGAGGTAACAGGAGAACAAGGCGATGCAAGAGACAAACAGTTTGTGTTTCCAAGACAGTTTTTGGTTCTGGGCGACTCTGAAGTTGGTAAAACAAGTCTTGTTAATTCGCTCACTGGAAATCCATTTGATCCCGAGCAACCCAAAACGCAAGGAATTGATCAAAGTCTTGTGGACAAGGAGTGGAAGAGCTGTAATTTAACGGAACTTGTCTTTGGAGACTTGTGGAGGTTCCTCAAAACGGGCGACGTCGAAGTGTCTTTGAAAGGAACAGGGGGAAGAAGTGTTGTTGTTCAACAGTTCGAAGTGATCACGGGTCTTGTGCGGTGGATTATATACTTTTACGCATCAACGATTGCAGCCCTGTTTGCCATAGGAACACTATACACGCGTAATTTATCCGTAGCGTTTCTATTATTTTATTTCATTTACTATGGTCACCTGATTTTTCAATGCTGCACTATTCAAGCCTACGGTAATTTAAGATTTATCTTGGCTACCTTCGTTTTCATCTTGAGCCGTCGCGGATTAATAGTAGGCTTATATCTAGGTCTACGGTCACATATGTACGAGAGTGTTGAAGAGTATGCTAGTACTCGCACTCTGATTTTATTAGGCACAGTCGCTGGAATTGCGTTCGTCGCTGTGTTCCTCTTCATAGGACCACTGCAGCTACCTTTTGGTATAGGTCGACTGGTCAAGAATCAAAAGTTTATTTTGATTCTCTGTTATTGCCGGTTACTACTATCAATCTTTATTGGGTCAATGTTTGGATTTGTTGTAGGACTATCGTTTAAGAGGCTTCATCTAACTTGCAAATCCTTCAGTGAAACGCTCCCAACTTGCAAAGAATATACTGGGCAACTAATTTACAATTTATTGAGTTCTTTTCTGTGGGAGTTCCCAATTGCATTTTTGGAAACAAGACGTTTACGTACTATAATTTTCTCCATCAAAGAAAAGACATCATGGGTGACCTTTATCACACTACTCATTGTTGTATTATTTTGTCTTTACAAATTAGCATGGGATTCGCCAGAATTCTATTTTCAAATATCATTTCCTTTGTATATCTTTTTTACCATCCATCAGGAATGGTTTTGTACTTATTCACAAAGTCGTGACGAAGAACACATGTATCCTCCTAACAGCTTCATGACATTCGAACTAATGGGATATGGAGAAATCAATACAAAGCTGTTAAAAAGAGCCCTTAAAGAAACATTTCCCTCTCTAAAACTGAAAATCTTTGATTTTGCTGGAGACAAAGAATACTACGCCTTTCATCATATCTTCCTCAAGAGCCATGCACTTTATGTTATTGTATTCAATATAGCTAAGCTGGTCGAAGATAACTTCAGGAGTGTAAATACAGATATCAAAAGACTTCAGTTCTGGTTGGAATCTGTTTGTAGCCATATACTACCGAAAACACCAATTTTCCTTGTTGGAACACACAGAGGAGACTTGGACAAAATCTGTATGCAAATCTTAAATGACCATTTAAGGAAACATCTTTGGGACCGCTACTGCGATGAGTTGGTTGTCAATGATGTTGATGAGTTGATATTTTTTCCCGTTGAAAACTCCAAAGGAGAAAATGATGTTGGAGTCCAAAGCCTTCGAATAAAAGTCATGTCTGTTGCCAAAGAAAGAGAGGCAGCTAGCGATTGTGACATACCTTTATCATGGATTGCAATCAAAGATCTAATTATCAATCAAAGGGAAAAGCAGAACGCCAAGTTCTGTGTGACACTCGAAGAGTTTCCTTACGCATTTGACAACTTCATTTGCACTGACTGGTCTGAAGAAACCTTGAAGTACTTCCATGAAAAAGGCCTGGTAATATACCTTGACAAAGATCCAGAGTTGTCTGAATGGGTCCTTCTAAAGCCTGAAATACTGGTTAATATCATCATCCAGCTTGTAACGCAACCACCACAAATGAAAGAGGAAAGAGGCTTCAGACGTGACTGGAAACTTCT